CACCCAACTAGTTTAAATCAGAAGTCAGAAGCGAGGAGGTTTGGAGATATATTTCATGGGTTATCAATATATCGAAAAGTGACTGATCTAATCTGATTAATGATCATAAGAGATGCTTCCCACGCCATTCTGTAACGTGATGTGTTTCGGGTGCATGACCTTGTAGTGGATGTCGAGTCGAAGACGGACTATGATCACCAGTAAAATTCGTTTACGCGCCCAAAAACGACTTGGTTCCTTTGATAGCTCGTAAATCAGAAGACTTTATTAATCCAGATCAATTGTATTTATTGGCGATCTCGTGGTATCGAAATAATATCGAGACGTGCCAAAGTGTACAGGCGAACAGGCAGTGCGTGAGCAAGGTCGAACCAAACAAGGCGGAGAGCGAAAGCAGAAGTGAAACTGATACAGTTAAACAAATGCACTTAAACAATCTCTGGTACAATTGCTTACAATAATAATAATTGTTTCCGTTATTCCAATCGTGTTCTTATCGAGACTGGCCGGTCACTACAACCTTCAACTAAATGAGTTAACTAAAACTAATGTGGTCAGCATCCAATGTCGAATATTTACAGAGTTATTGATTTTTGGGATTTATTTACATCTACAACCGCAACAAAAGCAAAATTTTCTTCTTTGAAGAATGAGGACAGTTCTCAAAGTTTCAGTTTCAGTTTGGAAAGGACAGGAGGCTTGATGGCCTGTGTTAGTCCAGGCAATGATGGTCTCTCAGCTGATCCAACTTTCTTTTGAAGGAGTCGACGGATGGAGCCTCAACCACGTGCTGAGGTAATGAATTCCACTCGTTGATTATTCGATGGGAAAGTCGGCAATCAGCTGACAAGTAATTCGTTCTGGGCTTGTGAACTTTTTTGGAGTGTCCTCGTAGATTTTCTGTTTTGGAAGACAAGAAAAATGAGGGCATATCAGGTGCAAATTTGTCATTTAGCAATTTGAAAACTATAATCAAGTCACCTCTGATTCTTCTATATGACAGCGGGAATAGGTTTAGCTCGGTCAGTCTAGTACCATACGGGAGCTTCGCTATTCCGGGAATCAGCCTAGTTGCTGTTCTCTGAGCCCTTTCCAAGAGTTCACTGTCTGTTTTAGGCAGGGGTTAGCTGCTTGTATACAGTACTCAAGTTTAGGGCGTACGAACACTGTATACAAAGTCAAAAACGTTCTAGCGTCAAGATGCCTAAAAGCCCTGCGTATGGACCATAAAGTCCTAAAACTTTTGGCGGCTATTGCACGGCAGTGTGCAGTAGTCTTTAAGTCTTGACTGACGATGACGCCTAAGTCGTTGTGTGCCTGAACAATAGGTAACTTAGTGTTATTCATCGTGTATGTATCTGTACCCTGATGGCCAATATGCATCACAATACACTTGGAAGTGTTTATCGGCAATTGCCAGGTTTGGGACCATTCAGATAATCTCTACAGGTCATTTTGAAGTTCTAAGCTATCGCCCTTGCTTTGTATCGCTCTCCATATCTTGACATCATCAGCATAGAGTAAGACCGATGACGATAGTAGACGAGGGAGATCATTTACGTACAGGAGGAATAACACTGGCCCCAAAACTGTACCCTGGGGGACTCCACTAAGCACAGTTTCCCAGCTAGACAACTTGGAGTTCACCCTTACTCTTTGTTGACGCCCAACTAGGAAGTCTTTTATCCACATCAATAGATTGCCTCCAATCCCGACATTCCTTAGCTTATATAACAGCCGGTTATGCGGAACTTTGTCGAAAGCTTTGCTGAAATCGATGTAAGCTACGTCTATAGGTAATTTTTGGTCCTTAAGAGCTCACCAGCTTTCACGAGCGACTAATAAGTTTGTAAGACAAGAGTAACCTGTTCTAAAACCATGCTGCTTTTCGGAGAGGATCCGGTTTTCATCGAGATACTTTAACAGTTCCTTCCGAATAATCTTTTCTAAGATTTTAACAACCACACTAGTTAGGCTAATTGGTCGGTAATTCTCAGGCTTATGTTTTGTACCTGTTTTGAAGACTGGACTTACTATGGCGTTCTTCCAGTCTTTTGGTAGACGACCCTGGGTTACAGATAGATTGAAACATACACTTAAAGGGTTCGCAACAAAGTTAGCTAATTCCTTTAATAACCTAGGATGCAGTTCATCGGGTCCAGTGGATTTACCTATGTCAAGCTTAACAAGCAGACCAAAGACATCGAGTTCTTTAATGGTTACGCTGTCCAGTGCTTGTGTGGGTGGATTTTCATGGACTGGTGAGAAGGGTGTTTCTATGGTGTATACATCGCTAAAGTATTTAGAGAATACTTGAGCTTTGCCAAAGTCATCCTCCACTAGTGATGTGGCAGTACTGTCTCACCATAATGAAGGAACATTTCTTCTTCTTTTTGTCCTTTGGTTTATATACGAATACAAGCGTTTAGGGAATTCTATGGATTCCCTTACGATTTTCTCTTCGTACAGCTTTCTGGCCTTACGGAGGGTCGAGGCACAGGTATTTCGAGCCTTTTGATACTGAGATTTCGCCTCGTCAGTCCCCAGTAACCTAAATCTGTCCCACATTTTCCTTCTTATACGGAGAAGGATGCGAACCTCCCTACTGAACCACGGTGGGGAGTTTCTCGGTCTCTTAGGTGTAGTCCAAGGGGTGTGGGGGGGTGGTAACTTTTAAGTATAAATTCCGGAATACGTCCCAAGCCGTTTCGATTGATAACTTTGGATCTAATTTCCAATCTACTAATGATGCTGATTTCATGATGTCTGCTATGTTTGCTTTCCAGACGTTAGGTCTGGATTGAGCTGAAGCGTACTCGTGATCGACAGTTATATGGAAGTCAAAGCTTAAAACTGCATGATCACTTTTGCCTAGGGGTGGCATGTAGTCCAGGTTTGCAACATCATCCTCATAATGAGTCAATATAAGATCTAGTAAGGATGATGCAGAACCCGGGTCGTACCTAGTTGCTTCCTTCACGTGTTGCACTAGAGCACATGTGATTATCGCATCAACTAGTTCCTGTTCGAAGAAGTTTGCTGACGATTCAGTCCGCAGATTTCCCCAGTCCACCATGGGTGCATTGAAGTCCCCTAGGATTAGACATCGATCACTTCGTGATAAAGTGTTGAGACTGCTTAGCAGGAACTCGTTTGCCTCACAGCTTGGACTGCGATAGATCAAACTAAGTAGTAACTCTTGTCCCCTGCATTTCAGGCGGCAGCAAACTAATTCATACGTCCCACTCTCATGGGATGCACTGTCGATAATGGTGAATGGAATAGCATTCCTAATGAATAGAGCTACTCCCCCTCCTTTACGCGTTTGTATTCTATCGGCCCTTACCAATGTAAAACCCTCGAAATCAAGTTCCCTACTATCTAAAGACGGCGTCAGCCATGTTTCTGTGACTGCGATTATGTCTGGCCTAGTTGAGTCAATCTGTACACCTAGTTCCGGTAGCTTATTTAGTAAGCTCCGGGCGTTGGTATAACAGATCCGAAGCCTATTTAGGTGGCCTCGTGCTTCACCCAGAGTGGCTTCGGCATCATCCTCTGTCGAAGCTTCACAACCCGAAAATTTACAATTTTCAGGTCTTTTTCGCCAGCGTCTAATCTGAGCTGTAGTTCCTTTTCGGCTTCCCGTCTCTTAACACGGTCCGCCAACGGTAAGTCCTTACGGAGAAAAACTCCTGAACCCTTTAATTTGTGTCCATTTTCTAAGATTAAGTCGCGTTCGTTTGAGGATTTGAAAACGACTTTGAGTAGTCTAGACTGATTTGGTTTCAGATGCGCTAGATTTCCTAGTCTATACACCTTTAGCAAGGTGACTCCGGGGATGTTTTTGGGCATAACTTGGTTGAGTAGTTGTTTTATCAACACAATGTCATGCTCAAAACGAGCTTTCGGTTCTAAGTTGTCACTCTCCTTGACTCTATGGAGAATGACTGATCTGTCGCTGTGATCAGACCTCGGCTTGTCGACCCTTTTGGTGGGGGTATGATTTCCTTTTACGTCATTTTGGCGTTTTTTTCTTACGACCCGTACCCAATCGCCAACGTTCTTTGGAGTGGTAACCACATTCGCGTCAGGTGTACTGTGGGATTCCGGAAGAGTCAGTACGACTTGGGAGATTGGGTCATCTTTCGCGCTGGAAACCGATCGAGCCTTGCGGTTTCGGCTTCCTGAAGTTCCCTTCTGGGTACCATTTTTGATACGAGGGACAGAAGAGACTTTTTTGCGCGAGTTTCTGTTTGTAACAGTCCTCTTTGGAGGATGTTCTTCCTCCTTAGTAGGGTGTGGGTCGGCAGTTTTTGGACTCACTTGGGCCTGCCTTGTGTCAATCTGCGTGTCGACAGATTGAGTTCTGACTGATGTATCCCGACCGCGCTTGCCGAGACACTTTTTTGCGGCATTCACTATTGAAATGGCCTCGGTTAGCAGGCTATTTGCATCCAAACAGCACTGTTGACATAGCCATACACATCCATTTTTACTAAACCGCTTGAAAGCTGCAGGTGTTAGATTCGTGCAAACATCGTGGTACCAACCTTTGCACTCATCGCACTGCATGCCGCTATCAACAGGATATCGACATCCTGGGCGGTGGCAAATGCTTTTGTTGCATCTTCCAGTCATTTTAGGATGCGAAAGTGAGTGTTGACTATAAGTAGAAAAAAAAACTATAAACAGTTAGGACCAAAGTACTAACAGACACAATGGAAAAAAAGGTACTCTGGAGTACCGACGATAAAACTATTTAGGATACCAAAGATGACACTCTAATAGAATACTTTAACTGAAAGAAATTCAATCAAAGTATAAAAACAGTAGTCTTGATACGTTAATAACGATCAAAACAATAGAATTTACTCAACGAGGAAAAATACCACTGTCCTTTTTAAATAGCGCGCAAAAAAAGTTCTCAAAGGAGGGGGAAACAGTATGACATAAGCGACACCGTAGGATAGGAACGATATTTTGTCTAAAATTATTGATTGATAATAACAATAATAATAATAATTGATTGCGTCAATAACATTTATTATGAAGCTACAGTCAGTTGAAATCCAATCTAGCCGAGAATTTATAGATAACTTAGAGAGGGATTTTCTCCAAATGCTATTTCAGCCAGCTAATCTGGTCGCTCATTACACGCACCCATACTACAAGGTTAGCTGACCTATAAATTCGCCACATATCTGAAGTACTTGAAACGGAACGACCGGTTTTCAAGGTCGTTGGAGTGATATAGTGGCAATTTTGATTCTAGATCTTTAGTCCACTTGCAATTATGAGTCTTTCGGAAGATGACTCTACTTCAGATGAAGAATATATCCCTCCAGGTAGATATAACTGTAGGACTATATTTTTCAATATTTAGTTAAAGCTTCTAAATTGGAAGAAGACTCTGAAAGCGAATACAGCGATGAGTCAGAATCAGGAAACTCAGATTGTATTAGTGGTAAAACCATTCCCTTTTTAGATCTGTCTTTAGATAGTTTCACTGGTCAGGCAAATGAAAAACGTCCTGCTAAAAGGTATGAATATAACATAATTATGATTTAACCATCAGCTGATTATTTAGGAACTCGAAACAATCCAAGGTTTGCTAATTAGTGCCAGTAGTAGCAAAGTTTTAGATTTCCGACTGTTCACCGCTTTCCGCTGCCGAGGATGTGAAAGCCTACGAAGATAAAGTGTGGGACGAGTTTTTAAAATCCGGTAGTACCGAGAAATCTGTAAGCACAGTTTTCCACGAATAACACATTAAAGAATAGCAGTGAAAAAGTAAATGTTGTAAAAAAGTATCAGTTTGCTGGAGAAGAAGTTGAGTGAGTTCATGAGTTTATCTCATATATAATATTTCGGTTTTTATGTATTCTTTTATGTACGTTTATTCTCGAGTGACTTTGATTTCTTGCCTTCCACCAACATGTTCACATAGTGGTGACTGAGTTTCGAAGTTACCTTTACAACGTGGTGTAGTATAGGCCTTTTATCATATGAAGCAGTGACATGTTAAATATTAGAAACTGAGTTTCCTTTCCTATTACTCATTAAAATAAACTTTAATGCGAATGCTACACTATTGTTGACAAGTATCTTTAGTGTCTAAGATGAAGACGTCCTCTTAGGAGTTCAGGTTGTATGCTGAGGTTTGTATAATCCAGTTGGTCTGTTATGTACTTTGAGCTACTATGTTGTAGGCTAAGTTTCATTAATATACTACGTCATTGATTGTTGATCTAAACTGTGAAATAGCTAAACTATCTGACTCGTATAGCCTAACAAGTTCTGTGTTCTCTGGAAAACACAATGTTAACAGAATGTGGAACAGGTGTAACGTGATGTGAGGTTATCATCACATTTAATATTTTTAATCAAGTGTGCTGAGAACAATTCACATATTTATTTTACAAGCTGTTTAAACGTCTTCCAAAAACATGGACATACAAACTTATTTGCTTGTGCTATGCTAACTCTTTCGGAGGCACAAATCCTAAAGTCTACAGTTTAACAGGCTGATATTTTGCTTCAATCATACAGTCAGTTATCTGCGATCAGTAGTACCAAAAGTTAGTAGAACTGACAACAGAACATATCGTTCCGATTTTGTCTGATTTTTATTATTTCTTGTATTCGTGATATTTTAAACCAAGTCAGTGAGAACCAGCAACATCCAGCTACGTAGTGCATTATGCTAGACCTCAATCTTTCCTAAGTAGCTTTTCTTGGTTAAGTATACATCACTAAGGCTAAGACACCAGCCTGTCCATATAGTGACTGAAATTGTGAAATGATAGCTGTATGATACTACTGCTACTATTAAAAATACATTCATTACACCGTAACTTTATTAGTTGTTCATAATAGCTTAAGCTACTGACCACTACTTTACTGAGTTTGTAACAAAAAATTGTTGAAAGTTGATTTCCATTTTAACGCTCGTATTCACTGCAGACCTAATGTTTTATCGTTGATCATTACATATGCAGTAGTCTCTATGACTATTGACTGACGTTCTGATGTGGGTGTTCAAAATTTACGTTTAAAATATTTATAGAATTTCACCTTTTCATCTATTATCTTTAGAGAACTGATATCTTATTCCGTCGTTGCACTTACCCATACATAAGCTGTAAGTACTGCTTGCGCGTATTGGAACAACCAAGTAACCAATGCTAGTGTTAGGTGTAGGGTAATGGGCATATATGACAAATCCGTTAACTGAAGCGGGACCCACCCTTTAAATTCCACGTAATTTTGATTTTCAATAGTATCTCGTTTTTTCATTCTTTGAGTGTGTCCTTTTTCGACCTTGTTGCTTAGTGCCTTTCCCACCACCACCGATGTACATTCATGTCAGGCCCTACATCTATTATAGTTGACTGACTTTATGGTGTATATTACAAGTATAGGGTCAGTTACTTATCGTTGATCACGACCTGTTGCGATACAGACAGACACATAACATAAACCATCTATTTTTAATTCAGTTTTGTTGATTGCATTATTTTGGTATCGCCATTGTGTTATAATAGTTATTGAAGAGTGTACTAAGCTGTAATTACCTTCGGACTTTACTTCTGTCACATGATGGCCCTGAGTTTAAACGTCGGGATTTTCGCATATTTCAAACATTTGTTTCGTTTCTGAATCACTAGGATCCAGTATTGTCATGTAAACCATATGACTGTTATTTATAAAAACAACTTCCTTGTTTTCAGAGTCATCCAAACAGTTTCAAACTCGAATCGAAGTATCTTACAGAATAAAACTTCAAGCGAGACAAATCCTCTCAGACCAAAGTAAGTTCTATGCAAAACTGTTACTCATTTGCGGATACAGTAAACAAACCAGTCGTATAGATTAATAACAATAACTTTGTAAAAAGTGTATAGTTATTTCAAACAGTGAACTTCGTATCATGACCTATACCAGTAGCACTTTGCATATAACTGCAAACTGACTTTAACTTAATGGGTGAGCAAAACTGTTTATTATGGGACACTTTGTATCCACTTCTGCTTAATTTAGTTAAAATATTGGCAGCATTTCATATACACGTATCTTAAGTTCTGCAATATTTGGATTTTCATACGCATAAGTAACATCTACATTTCTGTGTTGCAACCAGTAGATTATGATATACGTGTATGATCATAATAATTAATGGAGAGAAATGACTCAACTCAAGGGGAATTATCAGAGCTATTTTGTTGTGAAACAAAAGCCGCCAGTCAGCATTTGCAAGAAAGGTATCATTATCATCTGCTTTTCATGTTACACAGAAAATACAAAGCAGGCAATTTACATCAAGATTAAACTACTCTCATAGGGTGACAGTGATTTCCTCCCACCAGTTATTTCTTTAGTACTATGGGTGAGCAATTAAGTCCATTCAGGCTTCCAGCAGTTAGTTTTTCCTGACAAACTCAGTACGTCCTTGTGCATTTTAATTAGGCTAGTAAGTAAGCCTCTCTCTAAAATGTATGACAGCTGCAAAATTAATAGTATTTGTTCTACTGTTGCTAGTATATTAGCCATAACAGTAACTGTTGTAAGACGTATCTCTTTTGCTAACACTTTCACACCACAAAAAGCACTCAGATAAAACAAATCGTGTTCCCTATATTTTGAACCAAAATAATCTGCTTATCATGTGCATCAATTTACAAATCATTTTAATATAGAGCACCGCATTTGGGACTCGGTTTATCTAACGCTCTACAAAACTTGAAATCTACGATAAACAGCCTACCCAGGTTGTCCACCTTAGTAAGTTCCAAGTTTCTTCGTGATTATTTGTTACGTTACATTAATGCTATTTATGTATGTTACTAAAAGTTATATTTTCTGACAAAGCACTGAGGGTTTTAGAGATACGAGCTTTTAGCGCTTTTTTGCTATAGTTTCACACAGTTATGGCTTTTTTTGTTAAGTGGTGGCTCTCCTCTACTTATTTTGGTTTAGGCTGTTCGTTAGTATAGTTATTCCTCACACGTAGATTGTGGCTCAAAGCCGTGTGCTAGTCTGTACTGGGTAAATTGGTTGATAAATCAGGCCTCATTCTCGATAAGGCTTAGGGGCTCCTAAATGAATATAGATATGGTTAGATTGTACTGTAGTGCATTAAAGCTAGCGCAATCATGAAGTCCGTGGAAAGAACTAGATATGTGGTTACCTTTTTATGTTTCTTATGTAAAAATACATTAATTATTACCAACGAATGTAGATACGTATATTTTACTGAAATTGCAGGAAAAATCGCGTCTTGACTGGAAGCAATATGTAGAGAAAGAATCTCTTGAAGATGACCTCAAAGCCCACAACAAAGGGAAAGAAGGGTAAGATTACAATAATACATACTCGTGTATGCGATTTGCAAATAGTCAGTAAGGTGATAATTATGGAGTGAATCAAGGGTTTTGAGTTTTGGCTTACTGTATACCAACTATTGAAGGGAAGAGTAATCCCAGTACCCTTGACGACCGAACAAGGAAACACAACCCATACCTATTGCACTAGTATTGATTGCTTGGTACTAGGTCATACACATTTACACCACTTAGGCGGTCAAGTAAGCCTGGGTGGTAGTCAGTTGCGTTCTGAAGAAAAGCAGTTTTCAAAATGAACATGTTTAAAATCAACCCCGTAGACGCACGACATTGACAAATGTGATGATATATAAGTACAGACTCGTCAGAAACCAAGTACTTTATCAGAGATGTGTTACTCTCAGGTAAGAATGCAAGTTTATCAACTCATAAATGCTATTCGATTGCAAAAGTGAGAGAATTATTTGAGTTTACAGACACTAGTCATCAAATAAACTAACTCGACAACATTAATTTACGTTGAAGTTCAAAGGTTGACACAGACGCTATCTGCTTAGTTTTGAAGTTTCCACTCCAGAAACAAAAGCATCCATCGTCAATAAGTAGTATGTAGTGTCACTGCTAATCATAATTAACTTAATACACTAAAATGATAAATAAGAGTTTTGATTTCGTATTGTCTCCATAATTTTGTCGTTTTACTTAATTGCACTGCTAGTTATGTTAATGAGGTCTGTAATTGTAGATTCTTTTTTGTATGCTAACTTACTCGGTTTTTCATTTCAAAATAGGTATCTGGAAAGGCAAGCATTCTTCAACAGAGCAAGTGAACGTGAATATCAATATGAACGACAATTAAAAAAGTCAACATCGAGTCGGAAAACCTGAATACGACTATGCACATAGTTCGTTTATCAACGGAATGTTGCAGTTATTTATCAGGAATGGTACTCAAATGTTTATGCCCACTCAGTCTCACACTTCAGTGTATTTATATGATGCAAATAGTTGTGGTTAATTATACTGGCAATAAAAAAGTTATATATAAAAAAGAGTTATAATAAGTCATTCTTTTTGTTTACTAAGATTTTATTGCTTTCTATTCGAACATATGGATCTACCCAAGCTTTTCAAAAGTATAGTGATTTTCTTTATCCACTGCATGTGGGTATTGTTTCGCTTTCTGTAAAAAGAAGAGGAAAAACAATTAGCAACCATTTTTTCGATAACCAGCTAAAGTTTACCTAAATGTCCATGGTAACTGCGGCCGTATCATACTATAAGCAGTCTACTTTGTGTTATCACCAATAAGGAAATATATACATCTGTAGTCAAGCCACTTGGTGGACGATGTGGAGGCAAGTGCTAGACTAGATAAGCGAATTTGTTCAGTCAGCTAATGCTCAACGGCTTTCGCAAGGTGTGATTTCGAAACGACCTACTTTATTCAAAGTGATAGCTTAATGTATAACCCACCACATACCTGACGTTTTCGGGGTCACTCATACATGCACACGATGGTCATTACGAAATACAAATCTGCTGATATAGCTGCCTACTGGCATGTTTTAGCTTAACTTTGACAAAACGCATTTAGTGGTTTTGCCACATGGAAAAGTGCTTTGAACACATATGCAGTCGAATGTCAATGACCTGCTGTCCACTTGCAATGATTATATCTCATGATAGAAGAGTACCACTTAGTGAACTGTTGTGTTCGTGAACTTTTTATCTTCGCACACTATGTAGACATCAAATGACTAGAAACACTACGCTTCTCAAGCTGACTACTCAGGTTATAGCATTGGAGCGACCCGAATCCGCTAGTTAAACTCAAAACTACTGCTTTAGGGTTCTACTACCTAGCTGTCTCAGCTTTTTTTACTGCGTTATAAGTCGACAGGCAAATTCGTGATGGTTGATATTCAAAGTGTAGCTAGAAGTTGCTGAAGATTTCCCGTTATCTACTTTCTAAAAAAGTAGGAATCAGAGTTGTCATAATGTTCCTAGTCTCATTTTTCGGATGGTCCTGGAATTATTACAACTAACTCAATCATGAAACCAAAACAGTCTTAAAGTTATATTACTTACCAGCGGGAAAAAGAAGCAATACATTTGACCAAGAGATAAGCAGAACCAAAGGCCAAATAACGGTGCAAACGTTTTGAACAGCATATACCACCTTAATTACAAGTGAAAAAAATGAATCACGGCTTACACTGACTGGCCTTTTAAAATTTCCTTTAATTTCGCAGGATTATATCCGGAAGCTAAATACAGTTGAGCATCGAACTGTTGCGGGTCATTAAAGTCTCGTCTTTCAGATGGGTAGTCATAGGGTTCCCATGGGCAGCGGCATTCCATATTATATGGTTCAACATAGAAGTAGTCCCCTGGTGCTAAACCATCATTCTCAAATGGTTTATAATCAGAAGGCAAGAGATTGTAGCGTTTAGCAGCCGCTTCCCGTTCGGCCTTTGTGCAGGGATACGGTTTTGGCTTCCAATCAATGTGATAATCTACACAAATTATCAATTTACGAATGGCAATACCAAGGAATGGATATCTTGTATGTAAAAAAGTGGACGGCTAAACACCAAATAGTATGGAATGGTTCTGAAGGATATCTACTTCCGCTGCAAACTAACCGCGTGAAAAGTAGATCACTCACACCGACTGATAAAATGGCTTCTAGTCAATGATGGGTATGGTTGGAGTCGTTAGGATTTGCTACCTATTTCAATCGATGAAAATGTTAAGCCATTTCTTAATGAAATACATGCAGGCGAGGTGGTTGCCAGCGGATAGAATTTCATACACGGAAGTAATATTGATGCACCAATTGAGAGCAACCAGATACATGTAAATAACTTTCAAATTCTATACAAAGTATCGTCTTGCAACTAGGATTGTATTTTATGTTACCCTGTTACGGCAGTTGTCCTGAGTATCTGAATATGCATCATGACGTTACACACAGGTCACCTAAAATGATCAGACTCTAGCTGTATATATCAGAAGTGGTTTAGGAAGAATCGGTTGAGATATACGTCTCCGGAAATATATGAATTCCTTGGTATTCGGTTCTCATGAGGGATCATTAGACTAATATTACCATACAGCCAGTATTATACATTATGAATGGTAAAATAATTCACAGTCATACCGTGACTGTCTCGTCAAAAAAGTGGAGTCGTTAAAACCAATAATTTTATAAACAGATAGTGGTCCCACTAACAAGTGGTGAACATCATATAGTCATTTCATCAGCGCCTGACACAACATCTACATTCGTCAGAGCGTTTGGAAAGTCCCTTATGGTATGTATGTATTCCACAATCGCATCACGCAGAGGACAGATATATGTGAGTAATACACTTTTAACAGCGACAACATAACCAAGATCGGAGACTTTGATCAGATTTAGACTCAACGAACAACTGTATAAACCAACTGATCTTTCAATATGACACACTCAGACTACTAAAAAAATGATGTTTCCATACCATGACAATTGCATGGGAACGGCAATACGATTGCTTTTTAAAATAAGCGAGATGAAAGCATTCTTTTAGGACTATGTATGACTGAAATATAAGTGCCTACACTTTAACAATAACTAATAAACAGAGTCCTTTCACGATGTTGTATTGAAAAGTTTACTATTTTATAATCTGTTCAAATGATTGAAGACGGAATAGAAGCTTTCGCTTAACGTGCTTCCGTGTCTAGTAGCAGTAGATCAACAATACCTCCAGGCAAGAACCTAGGTATATTAACGATAATAGAGGAAAAAAAGAATATGGTAAATCATAATAATATGTCATCCTTAGTCCTTAAGAGTAAGTCAAGTTTCCTGTTGAAGGATTTCTGGGAAGTCGCTTGGACTAGCTCAGTCGCCAGCGAATTCCAGCATTTGACAACTGTTAAGGAGTAGATGTTGTGCCCATAGTCCGTTCTGCAGTGTTGGGTCTCCAGTTTCTGGGTGGTTATCTGAAACTGTGCTGTTGGGGTGAGAACTTTAAAGATAATAAGGATTCGCGTATACCGTCGTATATTGACTAGGCTACTCATTCGTATGACATTTATAACTCCCTACTTTTTAAGAAAATGTTGTCTGTATTGGGTAAACGTAGAGGAATCCGCTATAAAGAATTTTGGAGAAATGGCACAAAAACCCTGAAATTTCCGAAGATCTGGGAAAATCCCCGAAGTTTTAGGGAACCCCCCAGTGTTTGAGGAAGTTTTGGGTTTTTCCTCAACATTTCCCCATGATCTTATAACAGCCTGGGGTTTTTCCTCAAACAATCGGGAAAACTACCAAGTACCTTACGACTTTGCGGAAAACTTGAGATCCACCAAACTAGAGAGATGGGGAAAATCAAGACCACAGTTCCCACTTTGACGTTTTTTCTTAGACTACACAAATGCAGTATACATTTGAGAATTAAACAAGGTTGACAGGTATGTAGTACCGTATTGGTTGAAACGACAACCTTGGGATGGTTTCCACCCCAAAGTAATCCTTTCCAGTGAAGCTAGTTATTGTAGAGTTGAACTACCGATGTCAAATAATCTTATACGGAGATAAAGCGTGGTATTGTCCATAAGTAAACCTACATGCCATACCCCGACACAGAGGAGTCAGGATGGGACTGCATGTCCTAACAACAAGAAGTCTCATAAGTGTAGCGACTTTTTTTTAGAAAAGCCGAGTCGCTTTCATTGTCCAATCATATAACATTAGTACGAGCATATATAAATGGTAAATTTCTTTGAGCTAGCTTTTAATAGTTTCATCACAGTTCCAGTTCTTTCGTAAGTTTTCAATAAACAGTGGTCTAGTTACTCGACTGAATTAATTCTAGTCCATTTGTCAGTTAATTGTGGGTTTGTATATCTTGCAATATGATTGAGGACGTTTGCCAGAGTATTGTACAGTTTGCTGTATCCCAGGGGCTAACACTTTATCCAGTGAGAGTTCAGTTAGTTGCAACGTGAAAGACAATAAAGTGAAAATCCAAAAGTTCAATGAACACAAATGTCACAAGAAATAAAGAAAGAAATAAGTAAATTTGTTAGAAATTCGGACAGTGTGAGAGAACCAAAATGTAGGACAAAAGCGAAAACGAAAAGGATGATAAAGGTTCTACAATCATTCGGAGTTTGACAACACTTTACCTAGTAACACCTTTTATAATCGAAATATGCTGTAGCTGTAAACAAATTCCCAAAATCTATAGCTCTTTAAGTGTTCGACACTAGATGCTGACCACATTGTTTTAAGTGAACTTTTTTAACTGAAGGCGTTCGGTCATGCATCGAACCAGATCACGTTTCGACTCAGCGTGGGACACAGCTCCTACGTTTCGCTAGCCAGATCAGAGTAAACGCTTCTCGATATAATGATAACGTATCAAATATATCCTTCCTACCTCTTCTCGTCTGACTTTTGATTTTAACTGGTTGGGGAACGCTTCGAACATAGAAGGTGTACTGGTTTAGAGTTGCAAAACTTTAAGACTAGTTGTATTTACAGTGGTGAGACCACGTGATCTGGTACACCAAGAACACAAACTATTAGTCTATTCCTTTTTGGAATTTTATAAATTGTTTTTCTTTATTTGATTTATATATATATATTGCGATATTTCTTTTTTCGGATATATTTTAATTATATTTTTCGCTCTAAATATACTATGACGGGACAGACACCTAAGGTTTTTAAGTTAAAATCCATTCCCCCACCCTCGATTCAGTTAACGCCTTTTTGGTCTGACAATATCAAAGCCTGGTTCTGCTAGGCAGAAGCTTACTTTTGCGTGCACGGAATCACGGACTCGCGCACACAATTCCTCACGTTCGTTAAGGCGTTAACGCGCGAATGTAACAGGTACATCACACCTAGTACGTTAACAAGTGATGTGTCTGAACCATACGAAACACTCAAACGGTCGATCCTAAAACGCGGAGATCTAACCGATCGACAAAGTTTGGATCAGCTACTTAACAATATCAACCTGCAACATGGTACTGCGACGGACATGTTAAGAACGAGGGAAGTAATAGGCCAAAGAACTTTCGACGAATGCCTATTCAAACAGCTCTTCTTGTCTAAACTCTCACGAGAGGTGCAAGCATTGCTCGTCTCGTTTCAAAACAACGCTGTAGACGAACTGGCTGCATCTGCCGACCGCCTCCTAGAAATCACGAAATCTAATGCCAAGGCTTTTCCAGTCAAAGAAAAACCTCAAACGACCCAGAATGACATCACTGAACTATGTCATACACTTACACGTTATCTTCGATTTCGTAATGACCGTAGTTGGTCAAAAAACCCGCGAAGAAGCGTATCACGTAGGCGATCTGTCTCTCGACCGCAAGAGACAGATAATCCCGATTGGTGCTGGTGTCATAACTAGTATGGCAAATCTTCTAGAAATTGCAGGAATCCCTGAAATTACCCGATATCTAAGGCAGCTGACACGAAAAAGAACTCGGGAACGCGTTAACGGCAACCGTAGTCGGCGAACTTAGCCGTCTGTTATACGTCACGGATGTGACTACAAAAGTGCGCCACCTCGTCGACACTGGCGCAGAAGTTAACATTTTTCCCGCGAATTCCAACAACAGACTTCACGAGCTTACAGAAGGCAAACGGAAAACGATTGCCGCGTATGGGAAAAGGTACGTTTACCTTAACGTGGGTTTACGCAAACCCATCCAGTGGATTTTCGTGGTTGCAGATGACTCTATGCCAATCATTGGTATAGACCCGTTACAATACCACGATCTACTCATCGACACACGCTCACGAAGGTTAATAGACGGAAAAAATAAGTTATCTGATTGTTTAACTCCTCTTTCTGGTTGCCGATTATCTCCAGTCACAATTAAGCACACCATAGACCCCTTATATCAACCATTACTCGATAAATACTCCGGGATGTATCAACCACAACCGAAATTGCCGTGTATAATCTGCAATGTTACACATCACATCTCGCCTACAGGACCACCTGTATTCTCGAAAGCACACCGACTGACTTTCGAAAAGCTTAGGTTAGCTAAAAACGAATTCGACCACATGATAGACTTAGGAATAATTTGACCGTCAAATAGCCCTTGGTCATCTCCTTTGCACATGGTCCCTAAAAAGGACAGCAATGATTGGCGTCCAACTGGTGATTATCGGCGTCCGAATGCCAAAACCATTCCCGATCGTTGCCCGTTGCCTCACATTCACGATTTGACAGCAACCTTGAAAGGTACAACTGTCTTTTAGAAAATCGACTTGGTCAAAGCATATATCCAAATTCATATGGCTGCTGATGACAATCATATAAACACTATCATCACTCCATTTTGACTACAAATTTTCGGTCAAAATGTCCGGTTTTAGACGTGCTGCATGTCATATCGTTTCGGTGCGTAGTGTGTTCCCTGTAATTAGTATATGATGCCCAATTAGAGAGGACTGAACTTATTGATCGGATTAATAATACACTAAAGCTGTATGAGCAGTATTGAGTACTTGTCAGTCCCGCTTTCTGCCAAGCTCAGCTAGTTAAGTCCAGAACACCAATAACGGCTTCGGCAATATGAATCATTATTCACAAACATACTGGGTTTATATACCAACCAAACAGACCACATCGTACCATAAAATAGAAAATAACATTTGTACAATAATTGGCTAAATGTGGCTGGGAGTAGGGGAAAAGCAATCAATGGACTGATGATAACTCAAGAATCGTATAGTAATAGGTCAAAGGTCAAAATAAAGCTTATGGTAAGAGGAACACGAATATGAATAGTTTAGTTACGTAACAATTTTACAATAGGAAATAGGCATATTACATTGGTCCATAAATAGTCCCTAAAATTACCATTCATAATTCACCAGGGATATAACACTGCACAAACTCTCCAGAGAGTAATCGATGACGTATTCAGAGGTCTCAACTTCGTGCACGCGTATTCTGATGGTTGAATGATCCTACTTTCGTTCAGAGGATCTCATCTCCAACATGTGGACCTAGTTTTCGATCGATTCTAAAAGCATGGCTTCATGGTAAACATTCAGCATTGTCAAATCTGGACCAACTCAGATGATTTTCTCGAACAAACTATTGATGTACAAGGCATCCGCCTACTGAAAAGCAGAGTGGTGCCATTCGAGATTACCCGGAACCAATCCACAGGCACCGGCTCAAAGTACTTTTTCAGACACACTATCGGCGCTCTGAGCATCCAACCCCGAGAAAATAAAGTGGAGAACATTCGGGAGTACCCAGAAGCGACCATAACCAAGCAACTACGCATTTCTGACGGCCTAATAGGCTTCTATGCCGAATGGCATGTTTTTCATGAGACACTTAACTGACCAACTTCGTGGAGTTGCGAAAACTGTCAATTTGGACGACATCGCGGAAAATGAACTCTCCACAGTTAAGGAGCTTATCGCGTAAGCAACGTTGCTCGCACACCAGGACACCAAATCACACATTAGTATCGTAGTAGACGCATTGGAATCGGAAATAAGAGGAGTCTTACAATGAGCAAACAACATCTGACAAACTATAGCAGTCTTCTTGAGACGGTCACAAAACACTGATGCTACATAACACTTTGTTTCATTCCGAACTTTTGGCATCCTTGTGTTGATAAAAAAACAAGCTTTTTTTAATATGCACACATATGTACCCATTGTTCTGATTCCAAAATACAGAATATTTTTTGTATATTTTTTCGTTTTTTTTTAAAAACTGAAAATTCATTTTATGAAAATCGTTTTTACGCTATTGAATGTTTAAGAAACGCATGTTCATAAGTATTTTTCCTTTTTATATGTGTCTTGTGTCTTTGCGAACGTACGAATGTAATTCGACGTCCACTTACAATTTCTTTTGTTTCTTCTTCAGTACATCTGAAAAGGAGGAAAATTCGGCGAAGATCATGATGAATCAGTACTTTCAGTGTACCTGTTTTTCATCAGTATATTTTACCACGTAGCCACTCATAGTATGGAAAGACGACCAGACGCTGCTCAACAAAGCAAGCTATCGGAAGAGTATCTACCGACGACAAAATAGTTGAGTTTCAGTTCACCACTGGCCACATCTTATGGTCAACACAACCCCACTAGTAGGGGAGTGTTCTGTAGCGGCAAAAAAGTCCCCAGAGTCATTGGCTCTTAAGTTCCAAATATTTGATGCTGACTTCATTAGTTATAATGAACACAGCTTATTTGAAAGCGACAGTTTACGCATCCATAATGTGTTACCGATTACTCCTGTGAAAGTCCTATAGATTCTGTTATTGTGTTAGGTAATTAGCGTAGATGTGATCAGCATAGTGTCATGCAATACAAAACAATTATGTATCAAACGCGTATTCTGATGGTTTAATGATCCTACTTTTGTTCAGAGGACACTGCTCAAAAAGCATTCTCCACAGTTAAGGAACATATCTCTTAGTCAACCCTGCTTGCGCATCAAGACACTCAGGCGCCCATTAGTATCGCCATAGACGCATCCTACTCAGCAGTCGGAGTCTTACTACAATGGGTTAACCTAGGATTTTGCTCCATAATATGGAAGTTCTCAAGGGTTGACTAGGTAGACGAGATTGTGATGTTCTAATAGAATGCTTGTGATGGATGTGACATGGCGTACTTGACAGACCCTGTACAAAT